CGACGTCCAGCCGAGGTCCAGCCGACGTCGGGCCGACTTCGGACCGAAATCAATTGCTGAGGTCCAGCCGACGTCGGGCCGACGTCGGACCGACATCGGCCGCTGTTTTGACCGTTAAAATAATATAAAATACATGTCTCATGTTTCATAAAGAGCTTCTGTATTCAAAATATCCTCAGGAAACTCAAATCTTCCTCCACGCCGCAACCCCCTGATCCGGACTGAACGGGAAACTTTATCCCATTTGGGATTGCCCGTAAGCCGAGCTCGCCCGTAGCCGGGTGCGGTGAGTGTTTGGGGGCTGCTCGGCCTATCCTTTGGTCAGGCTCAGCCCCGGCAACTCACCAGGGCCCTGGGCCGGGCCCAGTTCATATAGAAAGGCCAGTCGGCAAGTGTCACTTTGCCAAAGTGCCATTTATCAAAGGGACACTTTGGGAAACGTTGGTGCAGGTGTGTAAGAGTGGCTAGGTATATGAATCCATTGTGGGGTCGCCCTTTCCAATAAGTGTCACGTAACAGCAATGGGACCAGGGACTCTATATGAACTGGACCCAGGGTGCTCGCCAAGAAGACCAATGTCTCCATCCTATGATCCTTCCGGCTCTGAAATGGTCTTGTCAGACCGAAAGGGCATAACTCAACAAAACAAATCAATTCCGCTAGCTGGCTGCGTGGTGTAGTGGTTAGCGCACTAACCTCGCGTTCGAATGCCACTGGGTTCGAATCCCATCGCCGGCTGATGCTTTTGGCGTGTTGTCCCAGTAAACATGCCGACGTCGGCGACTGGGGGGCTCGAATTCCGCCGCCGGTTGATATTTTTGGCGCGTTGTCCCAATAAACATGCCGACGTCGGCCCCGTCGGTCCAACGACAAACGATCTCGTCAACCTCGGCAAACGATCTCGGCCCGACGTCGGCTCGACGTCGGCTGGACTTCGGCTGGACGTCGGAACATGCGGGCATATCCGACGTCCAGCCGATGTCGGGCCGAGGTTGAACCGACGTTGGGCCGACGTCGGGCCGAGCCTCGGCCCGACGTCGGGCCGACGTCGTCATGTTTACTGGGTGGTGCCCTTGCTAGGCCTGTGGTGCCTCTGGCAGGCCTGTGGTGGTACCCCTGACAGGCCCAAGGTGGTGCCCCTGCGAGGCCGGTGGGGCCCCTGGCAGGTCTGTGGTGCCACTGGCAGATCTATGGTGCTCTTGCTAGGCCGATGGTGCTCCTGACAGGCCTGTGGTGCCCCTGACAAACTTGTGGCGCCCCCGACAGGCCCGTGGTGCCCCTGACAGGCCCAAGGTGCCCCTGCGAGGTCGGTGGGGCCCCTGGCAGGTCTGTGGTGCCCCTGGCAGACCTAGGTGCTCTTGCTAGGTCGATGGTGCTCCCAACAGGCCTGTGGTGCCCCTGGCAGGCCTGTGGTGTCCCCGGGCCCCAAGGGGGCGGGGGTCATGACCCATATGACCCACCCTTGGATCCACCACTGGTCATTACTTGCAGACTGACTCATTTGACATCCATTGCAAAACAAGTCACAGTAGTATGTTTGTCACCCTGTTCCTTTATGCCCATTTTTATAGTGGGCAAATCTCGACGACTGGGGGGGGGGGGGGGCAATGCTATTGAGTGCGGGGGCATTTGCCCCCCCCCCAGTTAACATGTTAAAATAGGCCCTGCTGCACACTTTTGAAGAAGTTGCGAGATGGCCTCAAGCAGAATCTCCGCCAAAAAGCCCAAGAAAGATGTTTTATCCGCACTGACAGCGCCCCCGCCCATTCGTCCTGAGCTGCGATTGAAGAAACAACATGATGTGGACATTAAATCCTACCGCATCTAAGAAATTCACCTGACCAGGTATTAACTGACTCTTAATTGCTACGGGAGATGAAGAATCCACAGCATGGCCGGTGATTTAAGGACAGGAATGACGTCATTGATGAGGTGGAGCAGTGATTTACGGGACAGTGCGAGGGTCCTACAGTGACCGCCTGAGGCAGCTCAAGAAACGATGCAATAAGTTTGCGGTCGTGTGTGGTGACTTGTAAAGGAGTAATGAACATCATGTAAAAAAATCAAACTTCTATCACATCTAATTCATGGTGATGATCAGAACTTTTCGATACCCCCTCGTATATCGGCGGCTCTGAGGGGTCAACCCCTTAGCCTCTGACGGCCTCAGACGGGACCTGCACATCGGACGGCCACTCACCGGTGACTTTTGAGGGCCCCGCACCGACGACTCTGAGGGCCCCCACCGGCGTCTGAGAGTACCTTGCTGGTCTCTGAGGACTCCACAGTCCACAGGGCTCCCAAAGGCACCGCAGACCTCTTGAGAGCCCCTTGTCGGTTTCTGAGAGCCCCTGTCGGCCTGTGAAGGGTTCGAGCCAGCAGCTCTAAGGGTCCCACACCCGACTGTGACGACCCCACACTGCAGTGTCTCTGAGGGCCCACAACGGCAACTGTGAGGCCGATGACCCTCACCGGCGCCTCTGAGGGCCCACAGCGGCACCTCTGGGGCCCGCACCAATGCCTCTGAGAGCCTCACACCGGTACCTGTGAGGGCCCACACCAGTGCCTCCAAAGACTTCATAACCAGCGGCCCCGAGGGCCCTACACGGGTGATTTTGAGGGACCTACCGAAGGCACCACGCAATCCCTTAGTCTCGCTGAGCTTCTATCCCAATCACAAACTGGTTTCTATCCCAATTCTGGCTCAACCTATTAGCAGCCCACGCCCCCTCCCCCCCCCCCACTCCATATGGACAGCAGCGCCGCGCCGGTGCCGGGGCCAGCGCCATCGGGGCGGCAGTCGGCCACGCGTACTTACATAATGGTTAGCGCTTAGCACCGGCGGCTAGCGCACGCTCGGTGTGTTATCTGGTCGATATAGGTAGTAAGCAGATGCAGAGATGCAGGTGGATTGATGACCGGCAAGCTTTTGTGTTTTACGAGGGTGAAGGGTCGAAGTCGGCTGCCAAGTGGTGAGCGGATTTTATCAGATGCCGGTTCACTATCATTCTTTCCATGCAACGCCCTTAGGGCTAATGCCAAAATGCCAAAATCAAAGGGGGCACGGTGCCCCGGTGCCCTCCCCGTTCCGCCGCCTATGCCTGTTGTTAGAAAAGCTGTGGATCGATTTACTTGATTCTTGCATGACAAGATCCGCCATTCAATTCTTAGCAGGTACCGAAAAGTTGACGTCAATCGCACGATCCGCCATCCATATTGCGGTACTGCCATCTATTGACAAGGCTGGAGAACTAAAGCCGTGCGGCAATTTCCACTTCTGACACACCATGTAAATATTTCACCTCGTGAGTACATCGACGGCGCCGCAATGAGCGTTTTTGATAAGCGTCAATAAGGTCACGAAGCTGGTCGACGGAGGTCATGTTACATATCATTCGATTCAGCAGGTTTTCCCGAGTCCATATCGCCAACGTGTTCGGAGCTATCGCAAAAGAAAAACCCTATGGGGGGGGGCACCTCCCCTCGGCCGGCGAGGGTTAAAACGGTTAGAGCGAGTCTAGCTCAAATTCCTTACATGGTTAGCAGCTCGGGCCGGTGGCACGGGCAGATCAACTTGCCTGGAATACCCTCATCGTTTACACTTCTTTCAGGTTTCATCCCTCGGGGCGCGCCGTACCCAGTTCCATCTTTTATACCTGAAAAGCATCTGTTCTGGACGTATCGACTCGTCTTTTTTTATAGCTTCATTCGCGCTACATACACCACGTCGTCCGACAAGGAAAGTCCTCTAGTGCGACAGGGCCGGGTCCTCCCCCCCCCATAGGTTTTGTTCGCGATAGCTCCGAAGTCCAAACACGCTTGAGATAGAGAGCTGAAACTTAGCATACCTGACCTTTGATTCAAGCCAGATCTTTTGACACCAACAGTATTTTCGGGTCAGGTCAGGTCACTGACCTATGACGTCATAAGTGAACCTCTGCACGGTCTTAAGATATCGCAACTTCGCAACGCCCTCCCTGCCATAGGAGCTTTCACAGGGAAATGAAACTTACAGGATCTAGTATCTATTACGAGTCTCACGACTTGTGTATCTCGGATTTATCCTAAAGGTCATATGAGGTCAGGTCATTTTCGTGACCTCACCATTTTAAGTCAATGGGGAAAAATGAAAACTGCTATTCTGGCGCCGGGAACGATCTCCAACTATCTCAAGCACACAGAATCGTGATTTAATGCACTCATTGCAAGGTAAGATGCGTCACTTTTGCAATGTTGACCTTGCGTGACGTTATTTATGACGTCATAAAGGTCATATTTGTTTTTCGTCAATAACTCCCGATCAAATTGCGCTAGCGAGTCGGGAAAGCCACCAATGGACTCAGGAAGACCCGCCGAATCGAATGATATGCGACATGACCTCCTCCGACCGACTTCGTGACCTTGGGGTGCTGACCAGACCGTGACATGAGGTCAACACCCTAAGTTGACCTGACCCAAACAAAAACTATATCATTCGAAGCGCCTGAGCGAGGCAAACACGATGCTGCCAAAATCGCGGTTCTGCGACCGTTTTTTTGCTAAGTTATTCACCAAAAACAGAACCGTACCTCGGGGCACTTGACCTGACCTCAGAGGTCACCGGTTGACCTAGAACCTTAAAATTGGATATCAATCTCTGCGTCTCGTAACGGCGCACACGCTCGTTTTTTTCCGCGACGTGCTAGCTGAGTACTGAGAGAAAGACACCAGGCGGTGGACCATTTGCAAATATTGGTGAGATCAGTTTGAAGGAGGCCGCAATCAGCAGGAGATGAAATTTACCGGTAGGATCTTGAACGTTGATTTTTGTCTCGCATTTCTTTAAACTTCCTATCGCGGGTGCTCAGGAGCGTTTGCACGTGCCCAGTTTGACTTTGTTGGTTGCCCATGCACCCACAAACAGAAATAAAACCCCATTCCTGCAACAACACCCTTTTTTCTGAGTGCACACTGCACATAGATTGTACGGTGGCTAACAGCGTGACCGACTGGCTGTGCAGGTGGGAGGCTGCCGTGTGGGCGCCCCCAGATCCCTGGGTGAGGAGAGAGCAGCAGCACTTGGCATCCATTCGGGCTGAGCCGGAGCGGCCGACCAGCGCCCTGGTCTGTCTGCTGGGCCGCCTGGTGCCGCGGAGCCCGCCGCAGCAGCCTCGTCACCAGCGAGCGCGCCGGCGGCGGCGGCCTCCGGCGCCGGCCACCGCCGTCCGGGCACCAAGCAGCGCGGCCGCTTCGGCAGGTCAGTGGCCACGGAGCCGACCACCAGCTGCAGCTGCCACAGGCCAGCCACGCGCCACGCGGCCGTCTCACATCGCTTCGATGCAGCTGTGGCCGAGTTTGTTTATCCCTATTAGTGGCACTGTCATAAATAGATACTAAGGTAACACGGAGCCGAAGCTTCAAGCCAGGGGACGCGGGAGGCATGCCGTCAGCTGTCCATTTATAAACAATCGTTTTCTTTGACATAATTTCTAATGTTTTTTATGTCTTGCATGAATTAGGTTCATCAAAAATTATATTTTTTATTCATGAGGCAGGAAATATTTTGTAGTCCGAACTAGTGGTGTCAATCGGTTACCGAAATTTCGGTATACATACCGATAGCGAACCAATACCGATTCGGTGTTCGGTATTATATACCAAAAGCATTTGGTATTTTGTCGGTATTATGAAAATCAACTACTGCCATAAAATATTTGAAAGCTTTTTTGATAAACCCTCTGAACACAAATTTGATTTGCTAAATGACGTTGGATGAAGAAAAATGGCAATCATGACATATTTCTCCCAAATGCATGATGTCCAAACAAATGGGCAAACACGTTAACTGTAATATCAAACACATCAGTCTACCAAGGTTAAATGGCAACTGTTCGTGTGATTCGTGGTCGTTTACTCTGATCCAGCACGACAGACCAAAGTGTTCATGTAATCGTCCAGTTCACTAAGAATTGCGTAGCTGATCGTATCGTTTCATTAACCTGAGGACCAAAAGAGTTCTTTGATGAATGTCTATTTCTGGATTAGTCGTCACACACTGCACGTCAATTGAATCGTACGACACCGGCGCCGTTGCGCCGGCGGAGCCGCGCCGTCGTCGTCGTTTCGCTGCGAACTGCCGACACACATATGTGCTCCAGATCAAGGCCCTAAATACACTCCAGATGACCCCCCAGGCCCCGCAGAGGACCACGTGGACGGCGGGGCTCGGCCGTGCCCGCCGCGCGCTGCCGTCGCTGTGCGGCACGGTACGTTTTCTCTCGAACAGCAACTTATCAGTGCTAGCAAATTCCAATACCATGAGGATAATTATCTTACAAAGAAAGCTAATGTGCAAGACATAGACAATGTTTAACTCACTGTATGCTGGAAAACATACTTTAACTACCTTACTCAAAATTTCCAAAGCATTTATTAGCAACAAATTTGACTGTGTTTTGCAGTTTATACAGCACTAGCTTCACCATTATCATCTGATATTGACGGAAGCATTTATCAATATCATCACCCCACAATTCCTCAACTTCGCTCAACTTCAAACAGCCTCTGTTAATGACTGAGCGATTCTGTGGATAATTTATTTTATTTAATTAGTGTTCTCTTTCCTGCTCTCCTCAACAGATAGAGATCGCTAGCAATGTAATCAAAATCATTCCTAAAACATAATTGGTTTTTGGCTTGATTCGCACACAGCAGTTTCAAAACTGAACACATCTAAAAAAAAAGTATGTCGCAGCTGCGCCAAGTACTGATGTAGCTCAATAACTAATTGAAAATAATTGAACATTTTCTGGTTCTTCATTTTTCAGCAATAGCAGCCTACAGTCTTTCTTGAATTAATTTTAAGATTCCAAAATATAAACATGGAATTTTTTACTTAAGTGTACTAAAGCAAAAAAGAAAAAAATATCTTATACAGTTCCGTGCCTAAATGCAAATGGCCGCCGCCATCAAGGCTGTCATTTGTGGAAGAGATGACATGTGACATGTGTCAATGCTTCCATAAAATTATGGACATTTTACTTAGCTTTCATCGCGATATCATTACAGTGGTGTTTGCTATCTATCAGTGTGCCTCGTAAGTAATTATTTATCAAGTTTTGTTGTGTTAAACATTTGTTTATGAAAAAAATGGTTGCTTCAGTATCGTCACCCTCGCCCTTGGGTTGACTACACTGAACTCTATAATGTGGAAGGCGCATCGGCCGCCAGATGGTGTCCAACAATGCCGCCATGTTGCACAGACCAGGGAAGCGGCCGCCGCCTGTGCTGGGGAATAGGGAATTCGGGACCTCTATTTACGTTTGCGGCCGCTGCATCCGTTACGTTCAAGCTATGTAGACACAGAACCCGGCATCTTACGCGGAGTTGAGTGGAGAACAAGATGCAATCTTTAAAAATCCTCAGATACAGGAAACTTATACGATAAACCCTTATAAGTCAATGGGGAAATATTGAAATTACTTCTGTTTAAGTCGTAACATTGCAAAACGCAAAGTTTATCATGACAGTCACGTGACCAAAGGTATAGCAGGGGTTGGGACAAACACTCAAAGGATTTCAAGTTTTTTAATTAAATCATACATATAAGTTTAATGATGAAATCGGAAGATTATATTTTTTCCTAATAAAATACATATTTTCGTTTGTAAAATATGTTCCTTAACGGCGAAATTCTCCATAAAAGAAATGTCAGTGACGTCACCAGGGCTTTACATTCGACCTATACACTCATACATTCGACCTACCTGACAGATGCCTAAGAATATTTTTCGGGGTACATAACTCGGCCCTGGTGGCGCAGTTGGTTAACCCTCGCCCATGTAGGGGGGGGGGGGTTGGTGCAACCCCCCCCCCTGAGGTTTTTCGGAAATAGTGCAAAAACGGCGGCGCGCAGCGCCGCCAAATTTTGGGTCCCTTATAGGGCAAACCTTGCGCATCTTTTGATAAAAAAAAAATTTGACCGGGTCATGTCAGGTCACGGAGTTATGACGTCACAAAGGGAACAGCCTCCGGCCGGATTTTCACAAACTGAGTGCCAACGCCCGAGGTTTCCTGCCGGTGGTACGGACATCGGTTGATGGATCGTGATGAAACTTCCCATGCATGTTGGGGTAAGTATTGGCTATCATATGGTATAAGAAACTTGACCGGGTCAGGTCAGGTCACGGAGCTATGACGTCACAAGAGGAACAGCGTCCGGTACTATTTTTGAAAAGCGCCCGAACCACTAGTTTGCTAATTCTTGTCACCTCAATGGGAATATGCAGCAATATTAGCTTCTATAGGGAGCAAATGGACCTTCTAAATCCAAAAATACAATCAGATTTCAAAAATTTAAATTTTGATTTTTCGAATTTCTGCCGCCGACTGTGACCTTGCCGACTTCCGGCGCTCCCAACGCGCCATTTTTAGAGCTAGGGAAACGAAATACATACCAAACGATAGAGAATTGATCAAGGAACACGATAGTGAAGATTTCAAGTCGATATCTCCCACCGTTTTGCCGCAATTGCCGCGGAAAGTTGAAAAAAAGTCTATTTTTCCGAAAATTTGACCTTTGACCGGTCAAAAGTAGGTCAAATGTTGACCTAGGACCAAAAATATACCACCAATCGCGAGATCTCGGCGAGAGCAATCCGTTGGTCTTTTCCGCTAAGCTCTACGACGCTCCGTTTTCAAACGCCAAGGGGGGGTCGCACCAACCCCCCCCTGCATGGGCGAAGGTGGCAGATCGCCGTTTACGGGCGAGGGTTAAAGGTAGTGTGCCACCTTTGAAAGATTTCCCATTTTATTTTTCCTAGGATAAGAAGCTTCTGTTTTTACCTAATATCGCAAAAAAAAATCAAAAATGGGCCTGGAATAGTGCCTTTTTCGCCTAAAAGTTTTTCGGTTTTTAGATATGTATAACAACTGTAGTGGGCTCACCTGCAAACAGGCGTCGGGCAACAATCGCGAATGCGGCGCACTTGTGACAATAAGCAAAGGTCATTATAGTGTTACGACCGTACGACGTACGGGAATGAGTTATCAGCTGTCTAATCGTAGACAACACAATGTCGAGCCTTAAACTGTAAGCCCGTATTGGTATTGTTTCTTTTATTTGGCTGTCGAACATTATTTATGGTTTGAAATATGATTTTATGTAAAATAATTGATATGAAAAAGCCGTCTTATAAGTTATGACCCCATTTCACCACACGCAAGTGGCAGAAATGACAATGATCAGCTGACGCATTTTTCTTGGCCGAAGTCAGAGCGCGCGGCCCGACGCACCACGCGTATTTGGAAATTCCGACCCCGACGAGCATCAGAAGCCACCTAACAGGCGTGTTCGAAACCGCAGGAGATGATGATGAACGGGTTTATCGAAACTTGATTGGATGAGCATATCGGTAATAGCGATTTCAGTGTGTGCATTTATTGTTCATAGTGGTGTGAAATGTGGTTGGGGTACGACCGACAACACGTCGGGGCGAATTTCGCACTGGGGTACTCAAAATTTGAAGAATTTAAGACGTTTCCATGAGTTTTGAAGGTATGGATAAGTTCTAAAAATCCGGTTCTCCTTATCTGGGCCATTAACTCCATACGGTCCAAGAAAGCTGGCACACTACCTATAACCCGCGCCCCGTAGGGCTACCGGCGGACCCTACCACCCGTAGGGGGGGGGGGCCGTTTCGGCCCCCCCCCTAAGATCTCGGAAAGTTACCGGCCGATTTTCAAAATTCAAACGGCGTTTGATAGCCCTACCCGGGAACTACCTTGTGACCAAATTTCATTGACCTAGGTCAAACCGATGACGTCACAGGTCAGGTCAAAGGTCAGATTTTCACCGTTCACAGGCAATTCAAGAAATGTGCTGTGAAATCGAGTAAATTGGTAATTTATTGAAAACCATCGATGGTATATTGTTCGTCAAACACATACTTTGCTATCTGAGGTCACTGATACCAGGTCAGGTCACAGCGAGGTCAGGTCACCGGGGTCACAATATGAATGTGTCGTGTGATACATGTTTTATGGTCCATTTTACATGACAAATGCGATTATGTGGGTTAGGCAGCCTTTGGGGCCAGCCTAGGTCACGTTTTGGTGAAGGTCAGGTCAAGGTCAGGTCAAATTAGGTCAAATTTCAAAGTTGATATTTTTGCATAAAATGGGTATCCATTCGATGCAGCTCGTCACGGGGAGTCTAATGGTGGTCTTTGTTTTGCTCTACGAGTTCTAGAATTGCCA